GCTGAGCGAGGGCCGGGTGGCACCCAGCTGCCCGGGGAGGTCTGTGCCGCCTGCCACTCTGTAGACGGGTCTCCTCTGGTGGCCGCCTGCGCGGCCCGGAAGTGCCCGCGTGAACAAGGGGGTCGGGCCTGGTGAAGATTGTTCCAGTTTCGGATTCTGGCCCCAGAACGGGGAGGGCCCCTGTGCCCGCTGGGTGAGGCGGGTCTTAGTCATCAGAGCAGCAGCCCCAGGAAACACACCCCTCCCTGCCCCTCCTTGTGGGGCTTTGACCGGGTTCTGGGAACAGCTGAGTCCTGTGCCCTGGCAGGGGACCCCCAGACCTCTCACTGCGGGGCTCCCGGGGGGACCATCCCTGTGTCTGTGCCTGAGCCTGTCTCCCGCTCCCCCCGGGCTCCTGGGCAGTGACAGTGCAGTGGGCACAGCAGGCGGCTGCTGGGTGGGAAGCGCAGGCCACGGACTCAGGGACCCCCGTCCCTGCGGAGCCCCAGCTGCAGGACGATGCACGGCCCTCCCCAGCCCCACCCTCACCCCCAGGCCTCCCCCTCATGAGTTCAGCCTGGGTCTCGCTTCCTGGAGCACCTGGGTGACAGGAGCCAGCAACTGGGTTTGGTGCCTGTATTCTTTTCTTTTTTTAATATATTTTTCTTGATTTCAGAAGCCGGGGACCGAGCTCGCAACTCAACTTGGGCATGTGCCCTTGACCAGAATCAAACCCGGGACCCGTGAGTCCCCAGGCCGATGCTCTATACACCGAGCCAAACTGGCTAGGGCGGTGCCCATATTCTAGATGCCAAAACTGAGGCTCAGAGCGGGGAGCAAAGGCCCTACCCCCAGCCCACCTCCCCCTCCACTGCACCAGCTCACAGGCGGCTCCCCCAGCTGCCCCCTGGTTGCCATGGTGTCGGAGGAGGGGGAGGAGGAGATCTGAGAGGCAATCCCAAAATACACACCAGCTGCTCCTCCTTCCTCATCCCTGGCTCCAGCATCAGAAGCCTCCTTTGGGGCAGGTGGGCGGGGCCTCTTCCTGGCCTGGCAGCTGAGAGCAAGGGGGGTCCTGGAGGCAGAGGGTCCAGGAGTGGGTTCGGGGCCCCAACCTCACCCAGCAGGTCTCCTGGGCCTGGGCTCCGCATCCTGCAGGGGCCCTCCCACAGTTCCCCGACCCGGCGGGCTCTTTCCTGCCTCCCCACCTTCGCACATGCAGTTCCCTCCACCGGGAACGCCCTTCCTCATCCTTCAGGTCCCAGCTCGGCTGTAACTCCACTGGAGAACCTTCCCCGAGTCCCTCGGGGCACCCCCTGCCTCCTGCACCCGCCCCAGTCACAGCTCTCAGGGGGCGGGGAGGTCTAGGGGTGCGAGCTCTGCCTTTGTGCCCCAGCCCCTGGCACAGACAGGTGCTCAGTCAATCCAGAAGGAAGGGAAGGAGGGAGGGAGGGAAAGAAACACCTCTCACGGGATTGGAGAGGATCTGGACCCTGAGCACCTGGCACGGGGCTGGGCTCGGAGCAAAGCCCACTCCCTTCCCCCGCCTCCCCCGAGCCTGGGCTCCAGCACCTCCCGCCTCCTCCGATTCGGACCCGGCTCAGGGGCCATCTCCACACCCGCAGGCCTGGGTCTGCTGCCCGTTTGGATGCGATGTCATGACGCCAGGAGGCCGACGGGCACCTGACTTTGTAAGGAGCTGGTGTGTCGGGGAGAAAGGCCTCCATCCTCGGAAATCCCTGACTGTGCCAACTTGCCAGGACCTGAGGCCACTGCATAAAGCAGGTGGAAGCTATGCTGCTTGGGGCGAGTGGGTCAACTCCCAGGGTACTGGCCAATGGGAACAGGAGGGACCCTTGCACCTCGGGGGTAAACAGGCTGTGATCTGCCCCACGTGTCCCGTGTCCCATGTGCCCTGACCAGCACCCCTAGAGAGAAGGTATGACAGGTCGCACTGTCGCCAGACTTCTGTCTCCGAGTCATTTTCATCCATTCCGACAGGTGAGCACCTCTCACTCGGAAGAACTCCCCACTTCCTTCCCGTCTTTGCTCAGACGTCACTTTATCAGCGAAGCCTCACTGAGCGTCCTGTTTACATCACGGACTCCCCCCAACACTGCTCCTTCCCCCCGCTGCGGTCAGGCCTCGGGGCTCTTCGCTCGCTGTACTGCGTGCAGTTTTGTTCTGGCCGCGTCAGCCTCAGATCACCAGGGACAAAATCTAATTCGACCAAGTCAAGGTTACTGCCTCATGGCCACGCGAGAGACGGCTGGCCAGGGCAGGCCTGCGGTCTGTCACCAAGCAAGGAGAGTGTTTTAAGGTTTGGGGAAGGGTGGCCCTGGCTGGTGTGGCTCAGTGGATAGAGCGTCAGCCTGTGGGACGAAAGGTCCCAGGTTTGATTCCAGTCAGGGGCGTGTGCCCGGGTTGTGGGCCCAATCCCGCAGTAGGGGGTGGGGGTGGGGGGAGCCGATCGATGATTCCCTCTCATTGATGTTTCTATCTCTCTCTCGCCCTTCCTCTCAATAAAAAATCAATAAATTATTTTTTAAAAAAGAA